AAGGAGGAGGCTGCAATGCTTGGTAAGAAATGTACGCATTATCCTGCCCATGTAATTGTAACCCCTCTGTACAGTATGTTCACAAATAAAATTAAATTAAATTAAAAAAAAAAAGAGTTCCAATCCTAATCAGTGGGATTAAAAGCATATCAGTGAGGCCTTCCAAGGCCAGGAGAAATGATTTATACTTTCAACAACCTATTTTTCAGTTAGAGCTAGATAAAGACAAAATAAAACAGGTAGGTAAAAAAAGCCAAACAACTACTCTCAAATGGAAAATATACCTTCACTCAGAGTTCTTAAATATCTATTATGTCCACATTTGTTTTGTTGTTTTATGCCACTAATGGATCTCCAACTCGGCGCCTCATGCTTCTGCTTAGCTTTTTTGTTCCAGACTGGCACTCTAACACTTAAGCCACACTTCTATTTCTGGCCTTTTTTTCTGGTTAATTGGAGATAAAAGTTTTTCAGATTTGTCTGCTCAGATTGGCTTTAAACTTTGATCTTCAGATCTCAACAACCTTAGTGGCTAGGATTACAGGCATGAGCCAAGGATTACAGGCAAGAGCCACTGTTAACCAGTTATATTATTTTTAAAGATGACTTCAGACTTTCATATTTCCTATAAGCAAATAAAAATCAATACAACCCCCAAAGTTTAAAAAAAGGATTTCTCTACCATTCTGTGTCCACAATGCATGCAATTAATTTCACATTGATCTTTGTAGAGAGAACCACAGTAGTTCCTAGGATTAACACATGTCAGGGCAGGATAAAGGAACTCAGCTATAATGGTTCTCTGGGTCAGGGAGAGTCTTGTTGGATTTAAAATATAGCAATCTCCTCCAGTAGTTTACAGTCCTCTAAAGAAGCTCAATAAACAAATATAGCCAGAATGAGGCACTTTTCTGCAGGAGTTACTATGTAATACAAATTACACATAAGGGGGCATTGTCACAGTGTGGAGATGGCTACAAAGCTAGACATTATCAAGACTTCTAGATCAATTGATTAATCTTACTTTTTTTTTTTTTTTTGGTTGTTGGTGGGGCTTGAACTCTGGACCTGGGCGTTGTTCCTGTGCTCTTCAGCTCAAGGTGAGTGCTTTACCACTTGAGCTACAAAGTCACTTCCGGTTTTCTGGTGGTTAAATGGAGATAAGAGTCTCATGGACTTTCCTGCTTGGCTGGCTTTGAACCACGATCCTCAGAACTTAGTCTCCTGAGTAGCTAGGATTACAGGCTTGAGCCATTGGTTGGCAGTGGCCTTTTTAAAATGAATATAAAATTATAAGTATATATGATCATTCTGGTCTCATGCCACCTGAAGATGCTTCTTGATCATTCCAGATGAGGCCTCCAAATATTTTTAAGTTATTTTACTGCCAATAGTACCCATTTATTATTTATTTTGTAACAAACAGTAAAATAGTGCAGCTGTTGAGCTACATGTATTGAGACCTGTTTATGTTGTACTTTAAGTCTTTATTGTATGCACTCTATAATAATTTGTTCCTGTGAATGAGTGAAACCTCAGGCTTGGCTGACCTGCAGTTAAAGCCTTTGAAAATGGCAGTAGATTAAAAAAAAATGGTAGTGGACAGACCCTTCCTTTATGCTTGGCAGGGAAATGTCATTAAGTAGCCCATATTTGGTAACAGGACAGACTACCGTTATGTTAGTTCTTACTGTCTGGACACTGTATGATTACTCTGAGAACATGCTAGCTTCAAGGATCACTGTAACTGAAGCCATTATACCTTGCCAGGAGGCCTTGTCCTAGTTACAAGCATTCTAGAAAACCTGTACCGGCTTTTGAAGGCAGCATCCCAGGCAACACATGCTTGGGTGAAATTTGGATGACCCTGCATCTCATTTAAGAAGGGAGAGGGAGCACTTCCTCAGTAATTTGGCAAGAAGCTAGCAATTGGTGTAATACAGGATTTTTGATGGGTCTTTATGTAAGACCTGTGTTTGGTAGAACTGGAAGCTATTCTGTGATTGGTAAAACTACAATCCTCCATTTGTGTGCCACATCTCCCCTCCTCTTGCCTACATAACCAAGTTGTTTAGCTCGCTTTTCTAGTCAGCCCAGAGACAGTCTCCTGTGCTACTTTCTAGTATTGCAATTTTGAGCCCAATGAAAGTGTTTTCCCAAGTGGTACTTTGTTAGTGATTTTTCTCATAGCTAGAGTGGGGCGAACTGATTAACATGAAAAAAGCTGACTGCTGTTATCATTTGCTGCTACTCAGAACTAATCATTTCATTATCTGGTGAATGCTGAGCCCCTGGTAGTTGGAACCCAGGGCAGTAAGCTCTAGTTTGCAGGAATTTGGAGATATAGGCCTCTGAGTCTGTCAGCTCTGCCTATAAACCTTTGCCACTTAAGGGTCCCGGCCTATCAATACTAGTGTGATTGCCATGTGATTACTGCAGTTTATAGGAAACACTATCATTAATCTTTCACTTCTTTCTTTACCTGCCTATTGAAATCCTCTTCATTCTCCATCCACATGTACTCTGCAAATGGGTTTTCCTTCTCCTCATGCCCATTTAACCCTTGGTCTTCTTTGGATTTTACACTGGGTGATGTACTTGCCACACTGGATCCATTCATTATGGAAGAATCTGAACAGGAACAGAAGGGGGAAAATGAATATAAAAATCAAAGAAATGTAAGTCTAGAACATCTATATTCTTTCAAGAGTTTCTTTAGCTGTAAGCCAGATTTTTTAACTTAATAAACAGAAACATAGTTGTTCTTCAAGAATTAAAGAGAGAAAAAATGTTTAGGCCTAGTTCTTCTAGACAAGTACTATAAGCTAGGGTTAGAGGTAGGAGTTTTCCAATGACAAATTCCTAAAGATCCTAGAATCTAATCTAATCTAATCCTTAACTTTTGTTTTTTTGAGAGTGGTACTGAGGTTTGAACTCAGAGCATGCACTCTACCACTTGAGCTACATCCTTAGTCTTTAATTTTTAATAGAGAAAATGCTTTTTTTTGGGTACTATGATTTGAACTCAAGGCCTTATGCTTGCTTAGTTTCCTTGCTGGTGCTCTACTACTTGCATGATGCCTTCACCTCTGCTTTTTTCTGGTTATTTTGGAGATGGAGTCTCACAAACTTTTCTGCCTTGACTGGCCTCAAACCACAATCCTCTGAATCTCAGCCTCCTGAGTATTTAGGATAAGTCATGGACTATTAGAGTCCAGCAAAAATGTATTTTTAGAAAACACTGTAAGAAGCCAGTTGCTGCTGGCTCCTGCCTGTAAGCTTAGTTATTCAGGAGGCTGAGATATGAGGATTGAAGTTCAAAGCCAGCTTAGGGAGGAAAATCTATGAGACCCTTACCTCCAATTAACCACCAGAAAACCAGCATGGTCCTGTAGCTCTAAGTGGTAGAGCACTAGTCCTGTGCAGAATAAATGAGGTCAAGGACAACAGTCAGGCCCTGAGTTCAAGTCCCCTGACTGGCAAAAAAATAAAATAAAATAAACATCGTTAAGAACCTGCTCTTTATTCGGATTCTGAAGCCTTATAGTTCTTTAATATGTAAATTTCAAAATAGTTCCTGTTCGCTATATTAATAACAAGGAGAAAAAATTCACTGTTCAATTATATGGAGTTAAGAGCAACTAACAATGTGATGCATATAACCTCCAGGCACAGCTATGTACTTGTCGATACATACATACACAAACATTGCCAAGGTACCCATTCTCAATAACAACAGGTTCTATGATATTGTACCATTTGTTTTTTCTTGTCCTTCCTCTCTTTCTCCCATCCCCCTTTCTCTAATTTTGGTAGTACTAGAATTTGAACTTGCACTTACTAGGCTGGTACTCTACCACTTGAGGCAGACCTCTAGTTTTTTTTCTTCCCCTCGTTTCTATGATAATATAGCAATACTGTTCTTTGTAGGTATGACTGATGTTTCTATATGATAGTTTGGCTGAACAGCTTCTGTTTATCTTTTTAAATTTCCTTAGAAAATCTCCTAGAAAAAAAAACTGCTGGATAGAACACTGAGGATTAGGTTTACTTGTTGCCACACTCCTACAAGAATTTAAATTCCCATTGGTAGTGTGTAAGGGCCAGTTTTCCCAAATTCATGTTATTTTTTAAGCCATTCCTAGTCTCCTAAGAGAAAAACCTGGATTGTTCTGTTATCAGTTTTCTGATTTTTGGTGAGGCTCAATATTTTCATATTTTTTGGCCATTTTTTCTACTGAGGTGTATACTTTTATGTATGTGTGTGTGTGTGTGTGTGTGTTCCTTTTCCTTACTGTTTATAAGAAGTTTTATTGCATTTGTCCCAGTTTTTAAACAATTATAAAATGAGCTATAAATTAAAATATAACTAAAATATATGCCCAGCTTGAATATAATGTAAGGATAGGGGTACAAAGCTAGCCCAGGCAGAAGCCAGAAGCAGAGCTATGGCTCAAGTGGTAGAGCACTAGCACTGAGCTGAAAAAGCCCAAGGATAGTACTCAGCCCTTGAGTTCAAGCCAGGCCTGAGAAAAAAATTATTATGTTGCCTTAATCCCCTCTAGCCTTATTTATTTATTTATTTTTATAGCTCTTTATATCTGTCTGTCTGTCTGTAGCTTTTAAAGGTGAACACAGAGCTGGATTTGTAACTCAGTGGCTCAGAGTTTGCCTACTGTGCAAAGTTCTGAGATCAAAGACAGCATGACAGGGGCTGGGAAGGTGGCTCAGTGGTAGAGCGCTTGCCTTGCATGCCTGAGGCCCTGGGTTCGATTCCCCAGCACCACATAAGCAAAAAGAAAAAA